GCTGACGGCCAGGGCAGGGTGTCCCGCACCCACTCCACGGGGTCCTCCCAGGCTGCCTTTTGCCCATGGACCTGCAGGCAGGGAGCAAACGGCAGCTGCCTATTCAGCACATGCCAGAGCCAGCATCGCAGCACCCCAAGCCCCCCCGAACAGTGCTATATCCCACTGCAGCACAGGGCAGGGCCTTACAGAGATGCTGCCTGTGCCCAAAATCCCAGCGTCTTCTCTCTCCCTGCCCAGTTACGACTCCTGCATCAGCATGTCCCCAACCACCACTGGCTTGCGTCCCCTTGTGCCAGGCAGCTCTGGGTACCTTAAGCCCATCTTTTGCCCCCTCCTGCAGGTAAGGGATGATGGAGTTGTTCCACAGGTCGATGAACCAGGTCCGGAAATCCTCAATTCCAATGGGGCAGGACAGGAAGAAGCAGGGACCTGCAGAGGGGAAGGCAGAGAGCAAAAATGAGAGCTGGGTCTCCCTACTCTAGTCACTGGCCCCGTGGCAGCACAGCACCAAGGCAGGCACACCTGGCTGCACAGGGTGCCCTGGGCTCAACCACCTCCTGGGAGCAGTGCCTGGGCAGCATTTGCCTGACACACGTGGGCAGAAAGCAAGCTGCTGGGCAACGAATGGGGCTGCTATGTTCAATCTAACCCCCAAAAGCATGGTGAGGCAAAGGGAGACCTGCCTGTGAAAACACGGCTCATATCCCTGCCCAAGGAAGGATGCCAATAAGACAGGCAGCCTTGGCTGACACCATGGTGACAGCTCCCACAGGGCACAGGAACAAACGCCACACAGGGAAGAGCAACACTTGTGTGCATCGCCCACCGCTTTTGGCTGTGTGGGACTGGAGGACACGTGGCAGCGCGTCGACTCCCCAGGCTCCTTTGAGAGGGCTTTGCCCTTGTCCTTGGGGGCTCCCCGCAGTGAGAGGTAGAGGAGGGAGGTGTGTGGCAAGGCCATACCGATGAGGAAGTCGGAGGTGCTGTGTTTCTCCAGGAAGGTGTGCAAGTGGTACCAGAGCTTGGGCACCCAGTCCAGCACACGCAGCAGCTCCTCCTTGTTGGCATTGATGTCTGTGTCTGACTCCAGCAGCTTCCGTCGCAAGTAGCGCACCAGGAAGCCGTTGGCCGGCTCCACGTTGTTCGAGAAGGTCAGCATCCTGGGGGAAAGACTCAGGTGATCAGGGCTGGGTCTCCACACAAGCTGCCCTGCTCCCCAGCACCCTCAGGGGACCCCCCCCAACTTGCATGTGCCCAAGGTTGGGGCATCAGATCCTTTGGGATGGCAGGGACAGATCTGGGGCTCAGTCCTCATCAGGGTTCCCAATCACAGGATGTGTCCCCAGGACTGCCCAGGGGTAGAAGTGGTGGCCTCTGCCCCCGCCAACCCCATGGGGATGGTCCCCAGGGATATATGATCCATACCTGAAGCTGAGATGGAGGCCATGGTTCGGGGTCATCTTCACGGGCTGGTTGGTGGTCCCGATGATGTAGGGGCTGAGCAAGTGACAGAGACAGGATCCATGAGAAAAGGCATCCTGCACCACCCCCACCCCATCCGTGGAAGAGCTGGTCTGAGCACACTGGACACGTGCAGCTGTCACCTCCACAAGCCCAGGGACCTTGCAGAGAGCAGCGGCAAGCTCGCGTGTGCCTGGGAGACTGCACCAGAGGAGGGTGCAGTGGGGCTCTCACCATTTGTGGTACTTGCAGGTGAGCGCGCCGTTGACGAGCTCGCTGATGGAGCCCGCCTCACTGAGGTCGTCCAGGAGGATCACTAGCGGCACATCCGCCATGCCTGTCTCACGGTCAATCTGGTTGGCCAGGTTGGAGAGGTACAGCTGCAGGTCCTGCGAGGAATGGGGATGGGTGTCACTCATTGCAGCATCGATGCCAACAGGGACCGCAGCACCAGTGCCAACATGGGAGAGTCCCGGCTGCTGCGCGCCCTCACCTTGCAGGACTGCTGGTGCATGTTGAAGGTGCTGACGATGCCCTCGGTGATGTCCCGACCCGAGCGCTCCACCAGGTACTCGGCCAGGCGGTTGGTAAGGTAGGTCTTGCCGGTGCCGTCACTCATTGCAGCATCGATGCCAACAGGGACCGCAGCACCAGTGCCAACATGGGAGAGTCCCGGCTGCTGCGCGCCCTCACCTTGCAGGACTGCTGGTGCATGTTGAAGGTGCTGACGATGCCCTCGGTGATGTCCCGACCCGAGCGCTCCACCAGGTACTCGGCCAGGCGGTTGGTAAGGTAGGTCTTGCCGGTGCCGCTAGGTCCTGAGAGGATGAGCCGCCGGTGCTTCAGCAGGGGGC